GGGGTCAGGGGAACAATGAAAAAGTGAGGCAGCGTGGTGGAATCAGGCTCTCGTCAAAATTATCAAAGTTAAGAAACTTGCATTTTTTCGCAGGTTTGTGAATTTTTATCAAAATTTTGTTTTTTGGCTCTGCACCTTTCATGCCCATAAAAGAACTCATTTCTGTGTGGATTTTTCTGAAAAACGTTGATTAAAGGCACAAAATGTGTAAATTTTCAGTTACCAAGGACTCATAAGCTAAGGAAATAACTCATCTTTGGAGGCCATTTTCTCACGAATTTTACAACTGAAAATAGGGGACCCCCACCTCCTTCATTCACAAATATCTCGACTTGTATTCAAGACAAATGGATATTTTTTCAACCAAATAAAGACAAGTTCTGACAAGTGAACACGCTTTAAGATGATACCAATAACTCTACATGCCCAAAAATTGACGAGAGCCTGATTCCATCATGCTGCCTCACAAATTGTGGGATAAAATCGGCTTTGAAAACTTATACTCTCGTAACTTCATTTTTGTTTCACAGTTCGTTTATCAATATCAGTCAATTGTGTTGGATTTCCCATTCAACAGACAAAAACGAAATTTATAAACCGTACAGTCGAAGTGAAATGACGGTTTTGAAATGGATTTCCTTATAATTTCAATATTGTGACCTTGCCTATTTTTATTTTTTTATTATTTTTTTGTGTGTTTTGCTTTGGGTTTTTAATTTTTAATTATTTTTTATTTTATTTTCTAATTATTTGTTAATTGTTAATTTTCAGTTTAATTTAATTTGCCTGGAGAAAAAGTCCCAGTTGTCGGCAAAGCTATTTTTGAGCAACGTGATGAAAAGGCCAAAAAAATCGTACTTGGTAAAAAAAAAAAATTGTTCCCTCAGAAAACGCATGTTTAACCATTTCTGAGTTACACATTCAAAGGATGTTATAGTAGTATCTTTAGTCTAATATTTTTTTGTAATTAGGCCAAGTTATTTTAGCAACATGATGCACTGCGCCAAAGTTTATAAAAAATGTACTATAAATTTTTAATTAGGTTTTTCTCAAAACTTTGTTTTTACACCGAGTTATAAAAGGCGACATGTCTTTACAACTACTCAAGATACACATGTATTTGAAAATACAACAATCAGCCTTTTCAGCATATAATTTGCAATATGCTGTCATTTTAATATCCAAAATTTCCGACAACTGG